TAGTCGGTCTATCCGGTTTCATGGATTTGATGGATTAATTACTTCATAGAGTAAGAAACTACTATTTATGTATACATTTGGTTCATGTCTTTTACTTACATGATTTACCATTAAAGTGACATGTTCTTTTCATAAGACATCATTTTGATCAAACAACCTGATGACTTGGAGCGCATGGTGCAATGCTAGATAATAGTGATTACGATCGAGGAAACGTTTATACTAACCATTTGCAATGGATAGTAAGATTGGTGTTACATCTGGCACCAAATTTGATTAAACAAGGTGTATACACCCTTTAAACCTAAATATAAATATGTTTGTCATGTTTGATTAATGTGAAAATTGTTTGAAGAGGGACACATTGATGTGAGTATATCTTGAAGCTACATAAGTTTTTCTAAGTGCATAACAAAAATTAGACTATTTATTTCAACCGAAAATACCCATAATATTTGGTCTTGTAGCCCAACTAGAACCCTAAGGTTGCCTTTAATTACGAAATTCAGTTTTCCTTTTTCCTTTCCCATTTTCGTTTCTCGTTTTCAGCTTTCGGTGGAAAATTTAGAAAACGCGTTTAGTTAAAATTTATTCATTTTTCATTTTCAGTTTTAAAAAATTAAAAAACGTGTTTAGATGTGTATATTTCTATCGGTTTTTTTTTTAGAAAACGGTAGTGATGGTAGGATGGGGTGGGGGCGATGTAGCGACGGGGGACAGTGGTGGTGTCGATGATGGCGATGGTGGTGGTGATGACGGTGACGGTGGTGGTGATGGCGACGGCGGTGGTGATGCTAGTGATGGGGTAGTGATGGTTGTTATGTCAGATGGTAGGTCGGTGATTGTGGTAGTGGTGCTGGGTGGGTGGTTGTGTGTGTGTGTGTTTACGGGTGTGGGTGTGGGTGTATGAATGTTTATGTGTGTGTGTGTGTTTGTGGAGGTGAGGATGGGTGTGGTTGTGGGTGTGTGTGTGTGTATGTGTGTGTGCGTGTGCAGTAGCAGAGATAGATGAGTTGTTAGGGGTACTACAATACCCCCAAAAAATTGTTATATATATAATATTATTTGTAAACATGTTTCATGTTATTGTACCCTAAACTAAAGAGATTATAACATGTTTTTTAATGTCCGATATTGGATAACTACATATAATATATATTGACAATGTTTGTACTCCCATATTAAAATTTCTAGTTCTACCACTGTGTGTGTTTCTGGGGGTGAGGTGGGTGTGGGTATGTGTTTATGTTTGTGTGTATGTGTGTGTGTGTGTTTGTGTGTCTTTGTGTGTTTGTGGGGTGGGTTGGTTGGGGGTGTTAAGGTGGAAGTAGGTAGAGGTAAGAGTGGGTGTGTGTTTATATTTAAAAAAAATGAAAATAGAAAAATATGGAAAACATTGATTATTGGTTTTCCAGAAATTTTCAACTTCTTTGTAATTTTAGAAAAAGGAAAATTTTCATTTTCCATGAAAAATTTAGAAAAAAAACGAACTAAACGCGTTTTCAAAATTATCATTTTTCTTGAAATTTTTTCCAAAAAAGATAAATTTTTTCATAACTAAGAGCAACCTAAAGTTTTTGTTTCGTGAGAAAATCATATCTAAAATTGCAAACATGATGGTGGGCAAAACAGATGGATGATGGTTTCTTGTGAAAAGGGGATGAGGGATGAGGGGGGCACATAGGGTGACTGAGATGAGAAGTAGTTGTTGATGACAAAGAAATAAAAAGTCACTAGAGAAGTCGTCGAAAATCGACCGTGCATTGCATTTCAAAATGAATTTGTTATCATTACATATCACTTTAATGATAATTTATTTACAAAAATACTCAAATCACATAGTTTCTTACTTTATCAAGTCATTAACCAATAAAAAAGGTGTAGGAAATTAACTAGATTTGCTATTGCCGGTAAAAATGTTGGTTTTGAACAAGGGTGCTGATTCTTTCACGGAAGAATTTGAGTAATCCACTTAAATTAAGAGTCTATTGACGGTTATACCCCTACTTTGATATCTAGTGGATTTTAATTTGTTTTCGTGGATGCTTCTTCCTTCATAACTCGTAAGCCTGTAATATCAAAATAATATATTTTTGACACTTTGTCCCTTTTTTTTTTTTTTTATTTATTTATTATATACTCATTTTTATTCTCTATGCTTTTATTTTATTTTATTTATTTTTTTGTTGCTGCTTCTTTCTTCATAAACCATTATACCCAAATTAATATATTGACACTTTAGATCCTCCATTTTTTTTTTTAAATTCCGTGATCATCTTTTATTGTTTATATCGCCATTTTTTCTTTTCATATTTCTACAACGAACCCGGAAAAAACATTTGGAAAACTTCGAGATGCCCCTTCAAAATTTTTGAGTGGTTTAATTTTTTTTGGAAAATTTCATTTTATTTTACGGTGATACTCCGGAAAAAAAAATTTGCCCAAAAAATTTTATTTATTTTTTATGCTACCCAGTTATTTTGATTGTGACTCCGTCACTATACATTACATATGAGTACTTTGAATATTTGACATGTGTTAGTTTTAATTTTTTATTGCACAACATTTTATTGTGATTTAAATTTACTTTAGTTTTAATTTTTTATTGCACACTATTTTTTTCCGGGGTATCACCGCAACATAAAACGAAATTTTCGAAAAAAAAATTAAACCACTGAAAAAGTTTTAAGGGGCATCTCGAAATTTTCCAAAATTATTTTTCGGGTTCGTTTTAAAAGTGGGGAAAGGAAAAATGGGTGTGTTAACAATAAAAGATGATCAAAGAATAAAAAAATATGGAGGATTTAAAGTGTCAATATATTAATTTGGGTAATAAAACATGAGTATAGAATAAAAAAAGATGGGGATATAAAGTGTAAATGTATTATTTTGGTATAAGGGGGTTATTAGGGATGTCAAAAAGACAAAAATTCCTGCGAGACCCCGATAACGTACGAGACTAATTTTAAAAAAAATTCGGGAGCAGAAGAGGGAGCGGGGGCGATATTAACTCCCGTTTATTTTCGGGATCGGGGGCGGGAGTGAGTATTTCCGTCCCGTACTCCTGCGGGAGCCCCGTTTATTTTTTATTTTATATATATATATATATATATATATATATATATATATATATATATATATATATATATATAATGGAAATTACAAATGAAAAATTAGGGCTTCATCTTTCTTCCGTCCGTTTTCAATCGTCACTCACGAATGGAGGGCAAATAGGAAGGGCGACTTTCTAGTTTCGAGGAATCGACGTCGAGTCGTCGAGGACTTCATCTTCCTTCTCCTTCTTGTTCCCGTAGTCGGCGACCTGTACTCCCAGTCTTCGACCGACGAGTGGCGAGTGAGTAGTGACAACTGCCTACGCGACATCTCCAATCTCCAACTCCCACAAGCTACCTGCGAGGCTGTGACTTCGGCTTTCTTCCGTCACCGGCTCACCGCTGCCGAAGCCTTCCACAATTAACGGTAAATACCACCTGTTGCTCCTATCAATTTCTACTGCTTTCAATTTATGCTTCTAAATTCTCACTCTCACCGATTTTTGCTTCTCACTCTCACAGATTTCTGTTTATCACTCCCACTGATTTCTGCCGCTTGCAATTAATCTTTTCCAGGTTTCGTAATTTCATATAATGTATGTTATCAATGAATTAAGTATAAGTTTGTAGAATACTCCTATAGAACTCGATGCTTGCAATTAATCTTTTCCAGGTTTCTTAATTTCATATATTGTATCTTAATCATTTATATTGTTGCTATCAATTAATTAGCTACAAGTAAGAATGCTTGATCAAATTTTGTAGAAAGCTTGATGTTTGCAACCACTAGTGAGAATGTTTAATCATTTTATTGCTGCTTGCTGTTTGCCTAAATAAATAGATAGCTTTACTGCTTTAGTTCTTATTTGTTAATAAAGTTATGGGAGTAGACTTCTTCCGTCAACAATTGAAGCTATCATATGCACTCAAAATTGGCTATGAGCGGGTAAAAAAGGTATGTATGAATTTGCTTGAACCATTGTTTTTTAATTCATTTTAATGTATTATGCTTATTACCTTTATTTATTTTTTCTTTGTTAGGTTGTGTTATTGATGGTGATGATGTACATTCTGATGAAGATGACGAGGGACTTGAGGGGTTATGAGTTATGTGTAATACCAAAATAAAGTTTCAGGAGCGGGGGCGGGGGCACCTATTTCCGCTCCCGTTGACATCCCTAGGGGTTATGAGTTATGAAGAAAAAAACAGCCGCCAAAACAAATTAAAATTCACTCAATATCAAAATAGGGGTATAATTATCTTTACATGCTTAATGTAAGGTCATCCGTTATACCCACCACTAACCACTATAGTGATGGGTGTCACATCATAACACTAGCTACCACTAAAAGGTAAACTCACCACTATAACCCTCTTATTTTTTTATTATTAAAATAAAAAATATTTTTTTTAATTAATTAAATTGTAAAGAGAGATGGAAAAAGGTAAAAAGAGATAGAGAGGAATAGAGAGAGAATGAAGCTGATTGGATGTGGTGATCGGTACTCCTCACCACATATGACAACGAAAATGTTCCACCAATAACCACTATTAACACTATGGGATGGTGTTCACATTTGTAGTTAGTGGTCACATAGACCACGAAAGCTCTCGTGATGACCATATCTGAAGGCCTAAGCGGATTAATTAAATACTTTCCGTGGAAGAATAGCGCCCTTTGAACAATTATGATCACTTTAATCGTAAATTGTGTAAAAAAATAAAAATAAATAATAATAGTAATTGCGTGGTATCTTGCCGTATTAAGTAATTAGCATATTATAAAATAGTAAGTTTTCATGACTTTTAACATTTACTTCTGAATGACCTTTAACTCGGTGACTAAAATGGTAACAGTTGACTGGACATCCAAAAAAAAAGTAACGAATCTTTTGGACCATAACAAAAAAAAAAGGTCGACATAGGACAAGGACAAAACTTATAATCAGTTTTCCATGATAGGGAAGATCTTTTGGAGGGAAAGATTCTTTTTCACTTTCCATTTCTAACCATATATAGCCTACCTCCACAATCAATTGCGTGGTTTAATTTGTCCTCATATGCGAAGATTGTCGATTACACAACAATGTTGAATTCTGTCCGTCTTCTTGTTCTTTCTCTTCTTCTACTGGTGATCGAGAACTACGTATATGATGATGCAAGATTCTTCGTATATGGTGTGGTTGATGAATATGGAAGAGATGATTTTCCCGATGAATTCGTTTTTGGTTCTGGAACTTCAGCTTATCAGGTATTTGCTTTTGATTTCTTCGTTTCAAGTGTGTTTGTAGTCGATTTGGAGCTAACTGTATGTGTTGCATGTGATCATAAGTTTGAAGGAGCAGTACTAGAAGATGGAAGGAGTTTCAGCATTTGGGACACATTTGCTCATTCAGGTAACACAAGTAGGAATTTAAATCGGAATTATGCAAGATTTTCCGTTCAACTGTTCCATTGGATATTGTCTATGAAATTTAAAGCTTGGAAAAAATAATCGTTAGATGGTTACTTGAAACACCCGTCGACATATATATGGTCGAACTTTCTATAAAAGGTACACGATGGAGACCAGACAGTCTAGGGCAATAATGGAGGACATGAGGTTAGGTCCATATGTAGGCAAGAATTGATGATCTGTCCCCCACAAATAGTGGTCGAAACTCAATTCTTTTTTTGATAATTTCGTTTATACCCCTCTTGTTTTTTACGTAGTTATTCATTCCTTTTGTTTGTAAAATTCTTTCTTCTTTTATATGTTGATGAGTTTATCATCTCAATTCATGGTTTAATTTATCATAAATATGTAGCAAATGTTAATCATATATTGTTTTTAAAGATTACATTATTAAAACAATTGTATCGATATTTTTTAAATGATAGCACTACCAGATATGATCGGTTTATTACCTTTATAACAAAAAATTAAAAACATTTTTGTTTTGGTTTTGTACAACACCACTTGCCAAGTCCAATATAAATCAAGTCCCATATTAATGGGGTAAATAAAATGAATATTTAAAAATGTTTTTGTTTTGGTATGTAGTTTGACGTGAAAATGACAGATGAATCAAATCAAAGTATAATGAAATATATAAAGAAAAATTGGATATATGATTATTAGACGTTTAAGTTGATAATGTAACTTTCAAAAGTTACCAAAATGATCAATGTCCTAAATATTGCATTTCGGACTACCTTTTATTTGTTTTAAATGTTAGTTAGACATGTGAGATGTGACATTTCGGACTACCTTTTATAGGGATATGATATTTTGGACATTTCGCATATTTTAGACATTCCTATGGTTCTTAATTCCACACGTAGTACATTCGAACTCGACATGTCATACATTGTTTTCAACATTCCGGACCACAAACATATCATAGTTTTAAACTACACCTGTTTCGTATTTTAAGCTTTTTTTCATTATATATAGGTTAAGGTTTTAACAAATTTAATTACTTGATGGCTTTCAAGTTAAGATTAGAAACAAATCAGAATCTTTTTGTCTCTCTCTATTGTCTTGGAACTAGAGTTGCTATGTAGATAATAATCGACAATGATACCAAGTATTTTATAAGTGTTTTTGCTAGTTTGCCTTCAAATATAGTGATGTTGTTCGTTGTCAATAAATTGGTACAATGCTGGAAGTTATCAAGTAGGCAAATTGTTCCATGTTATTGTCTAAGACTTCAGATCAATGTTGTAAAAATCAGCCTAAGCGCCTAATAAATTGGCGCTTGAGCGCATTACGGTAATTTACCGATTACGATTATTAATCAGTCAAGGTCAAATCGGGTAAAATCAGTCTAGACGGTCAAAAAGTGATGCAATGAATATTGATCTTGTGTAAGCATTTATAGAGAAGTGGAGGTGTGACAAACGATGCGGATATTGATCTTGTGTAAGCATTTATAGAGAAATGAATCGTGTGAGAAACTTTGCAAAAGTATTTATATAGAAGTGGACGTGTGAATATTGATCTTGTGTAAGCATTTATAGAGAAATGGATTGTGTGAGAAACATTCCGAAATGAATCATGTGAGAAACTTTCCAAAAGTACTATTCGACAATTACGTTATTAGGTATCATGAAATTTACTTGAGCATAATCCAATCTAAATGACAAATTTGAGTTTAGTCAATAACTATATGTCCTTGACTAAATTCATGTTTAGCTTGTTCAAATCTCAAATATTAGAGAGAACGATAAAATCCAAAATACCTCGATGTTTATACGAGTAGTTCCATCATAGCAAAAACATTACTAATGCGTAGTAACATGACCCTAAAACTGTTTGCATCTCAAGTTTTTAGTGGCAGGTTTCAACACTACACTTTAGAACCTTTGAGGTTTCATGGCATTGCCCTAGACCCATTAAGGGGTGCAACCCCCTTGATCCCTACCATTCGTAGTGTCCAAGATCAAACTAGCTCATATGAGTGAAGACTCACACCTCATGACTCGTACTGGAGCATAACTTTAAATCCTTTAAGTAGTAGTGTAAATCCTAATTACTTAAATTGCTTGATGACATTAAAATCACCAATACTAAATGCGAAAACTCTTAAGTTTTGATGTAATTTTTTGTGTGATACTATGAAGGGGTTCCCTGGAACAATGGAGAAAATGCAGACATAACATGTGATGGGTACCATAAATACAAGGTAAACACCATCTAGATTTGCCACAACAAACAACTCATTTTTTCGATAACTAGCATAAGAACTCCATTCTAATCGGTTTAATACATGTTTAAGGAGATATTGCTTCATACAACATTACAAGTCAAAACAGTAGACTCCTAATTAATATAGAAATTAGTTTACTTTGAGCCACTACAACTCACTGTAGTTGAATATTGCAGGAAGACATTGAACTTATAGCAGACATGGGTTTGGAAGCATACAGATTTTCTATCTCTTGGTCGAGACTCATCCCTAGTATGTTCATTTAATAGTCTAATGAAAATTTTACAGATCTACACTTGTCTTCCTTATAATTAAACAATCTTGCTTTATTTTTATTTTTTGAAGATGGAAGAGGATCAGTCAATATAAAAGGCTTACAATTCTACAACGATTTCATCAACAGGCTTATTGCCCATGGTTAGATATAAAAATGCCAATGTCTTGTCTTCAAGAAATACAAGTTCAATTTTCTAACTAAACAAACAATGCCTAAAAATATTGAATTACTTGTTCCGAGTGTACAGGAATACAACCACATGTTACATTAAATCATTTCGACATACCACAGATACTTGCAAATGAATATGGAGGATGGATTAGTAGAAAATCAGTGTACATTTCTAACATGGAACTAGTTGTGTTTGTCATATAATATATGCATGAATGCTATGTTTATAAACATTACAGGAAAGACTTTGTTGCGTATGCTGATGTTTGCTTCAGAGAATTTGGTGATAGGGTTTTACACTGGACAACTTTTAATGAAGCCAATATATTTAGTTTAGGTGGTTATGATTATGGGTTCTCACCACCTGGACGTTGTTCTTCCCCATTTGGGTTTAACTGTAGCAAAGGTAACTCTACTTCTGAGCCATACCTTGTAGCTCACAATTTGCTGCTATCACATGCATCAGCAGCAAGACTTTATCGCCAAAAATACAAGGTAATAAAGATTAGCAATTGAAGCTCCCATGTCATCATAATGCTATTTTTTTCTACTATTTTCTTCAAGAAACACTCACTACAGTGACACCTGATGGATATTGGTGATATATACAGGCCTCACAACATGGATTTATTGGATTTAATCTATTGGGCTTTTGGTTTGAACCTTATACAAACACAACGAAAGATGTTAAAGCTACCCAAAGAGCTCGTGACTTCTATTTGGGTTGGTGGGTGAACCCAAATGCTAACCTTTTTACCAAAAGTTATTATTAGAAACACGAAGAGTCGTAAATTATTGTGGGGTTTTTGTAATTACATTAAACTCAACTTTCAGTTTGATCTTTGTTTTATGGTTCCTACTTCAGGTTTTTAAATCCCTTGGTGAATGGGGACTACCCAGAAATAATGAAGAAGAATGCAGGAAACCGAATTCCAACTTTTACAAAATTTGAATCACAGAGAATGAAGGGTTCATTTGACTTCTTAGGCTTGAACCACTATACCACATTATATGTGAAGGACAACTCCATTAGTCTTGAAATGGATACCAGGGATTTTGATGCAGACATGGGAGTAACATATACATGTATGAATTGACTTCACTCTAATCTTGAATCTTGATGCTAGATATATATAGTTACCTTTAACTTCCTCACATGTTTTCCTCTTGAAGCAACAAAAAATTCGACACTTGAAACATCAATCACTATATAAACTAATACTAACTTGATGTTAATTGCATTTTTGCAGTCGGCACTGGTAATGAATTTCCAGCTCAGGTTTAAAGTTTAAACATTTTGATCATTTGTTGTTTCTTCTTATTATTAAACATTAATTAATCCTTTCCAATTGGACTGAGTTTCATGTTTTATTTTTTATATTTTTAATTTGATCAGTTCCCGGTGGCTCCATTGGGTCTCCAAAGTCTCCTTAACTATATGAAGGAAGAATACGGAAATCCTCCTATCTACATCCATGAAAATGGTAAATTACTTATAAATTCCTATTGCATCTTACTTATATGCTTATCTTTGTGTCACTTACATCCTAAAATTTAACTTTTTTTATAGGCCAAGCACAACCACGGAATGCAACATTGATGGACACCCCAAGGGTAGAGTACTTGCATGCCTATATTGGTGCTTTGTTGGATGCACTAAGGTATGATGCTAGTTTCTACTCCATTCACATAAATCAAAATCTTTATTGAGCTTTATAGATCATTAATTAATCCATATATCTCATTTTTCTTAATTTTTGTATGTGACATGGTGACAGGAATGGATCAAACACAAGAGGATATTTTGTTTGGTCTTTCCTCGATCTCTTTGAGGTGATTGGAGGCTATGCTTCTGCTTATGGTTTGTACTATGTTGACATGGCTGACAAGGAGTTGACACGATATCCTAAGCTATCTGCACATTGGTATGCTAATTTTTTAAAAGGAAAGAACTTAAGTGCCACAATTCCAAACATTATGGTAAAAGACTCTTAATTTCTATTCTTCACTTAGCTTTTTACATTCCATAGCGATGTTATATATGGTCATTTGTCATTTTAATAAGCAATTACTTATAATTGGTACCAAGTTGACAATACTTGGCTAGATTTCTGCCACTTAAATACCACATTCTTTTTTGTGTTTGTATATTTATCAAGCAAATTCTTGGTTGATTTCCTGTTTTGGTCTTTATAATTAGTAATTTGGTACCTAGTTGACAATACTTGAAGGGGGAAGAATGTTTTAAGAGAGGTGGGTTGTGAATGTTAGTTGTAGACCTTTGCATGCTTAATTGTCGGAGTGAACTTAAGGGCACGTCACTTTGATCGAACACTTGGTGCTCAGAAATTAGAGTCCACGTCGACACAAAATTTAATCGTTAAGAGATGCCACTTTCGTTCGACACCCAAAAAAACATTCAAAGAAGCAAAGTGAAATGAGATTGGATTTAATTATACCTTTTTAAAGATTGAAAATGCACAGAGAAATCGCACACCCAAGATCTTTATATCGAAAACCGTTATTGAATTGTCACCCAACAAATCCTTCGCCCTCTTCAAACGATCCATAAGAAAATTAGGCCTAGCAATCGTGTCGTGTTCGGGTTGGCGTGCCGCGGGTTGGCGGGTCAAAATATGTCAACCCAAACACGACCCATTTAAATATACAGGTCACGGGTTGGCGGGTCACGTGTTGGCGGGTTTGGAACATAAACCCATATATGACCCGCCAACCCATTTATTTATACGGGTTCATAGGTTGGCTGGTTTGTGGGTCAAATTTGGGTTCGTGGGTCCGAATTTTAGACATTTAAGTCTTAAACATCCAAATGAAAATTATAAACATTCATAGAAACATGTTACAGACTTAGCCTTATAGGTTACGACTTACGACCTTAGACCATTCACCACGACTCAAAATGTCAAAACAGTCAAATTGTCTATGAATCAATGGTATATATTATATAGTACTTATTAAATATTTATACTTGATACATAAATACATTTAAAAATAAAATAATTTTTTTATTAAGAATATAAACGGGTTGGCGGGTCAACCCATTTATTTTTTGAGAAACCCATATATGACCCGTTTAATAAACAGGTTGGCGGGTTGGCGGGTTGAAAAACTCAACCCAAACCCATTTATTTCGTGTCGTGTCGCGGGTCGTGTCGCGTGTCGTGTCGAGAATTGCCAGCCCTAAAGAAAATGCAACCAAAGATCCTTACAAAAAATCAATCGATCCAGATCTGATACCAATTTGGTGTAATAATGAAAGCTCACGAATGAATTAAAGAAAAAATTTAGAAGAAACTTCAGTATGATTGGCCAACAAATCATCTTTATTTCTTTTTTATGTAAACGTACAAAATTCTAATGTTTGAAACCGGAACATGGAGATATTAATGCGTTTTATATATTGGTGGTATCTTGTCGATCAGAATCATGTCCGGGCGTTACCGTCTGTAGCTTCCTCAACCCGCCTTCCACTCTGCCGCATGACTCCCTCCACCCGACCAGCTTCTCCATTCAAAACTTGTAAGTGGAGTTACTTTATGAAATCAGATCCCAAGTGATCCTTCTAGGTTGCTATTCTGCTGGTGACCTGAATATTAGCAACAAAACAAAATCATATCAACAGTTTCAAAGAACATTGCATTTTGTGATCAGTATCCATAATTTTCGCGATAACGGATGTAATTTAGCCGAATAGATAGAAATCGACATCGTCAAGTTGAATCAATAATCTAAAGATTCTCCAAAAGTTTTAAATTCATATTTAATTTTTCCAAGTTTGTTGATTTGGTTATTGACTGGTTTTATGTAGAGTATGTTACCTATTTTCAACCTATTTAATATTTGGGTTGAAATTTTCAACCTGTCTCAACCTATTTATTTAAATCGGTTTATATTACCAACCCAATCCAATATTTTTAGATTAATAGGTTGACATGTTTATATAGTTTCAGACCCAACCTATTACATAAATAAGTTAAACTTGGGTTAACCCATTTAAAATAGAATAAATTAATTAACTAACTAAATATTATACCATTTGAATTAGTTCCATTCATAAATAAAACTTCATAAGTATAACAAAAACTCAATCTCAATTCATAAATACAAATAAATTGTTCAAATAACATTAAAAATGTTTAATTTGAAAGCAATTTTGGAAAGTGCCTAGTATTACCGGTGTTAAAAAATGGATGGTAATTAGGATTGAATTTTTCTAAAACATAAATAATAATACAACATTATAAATGTTAAATTAATACTTTGATTAATACATAATAACATTCAAATAATTATTAAATTAAATATATATTAAAGTTAAATGGCTTGGCAAGTTGAAATAATTTTTATCCAACCCAACATATTTAATTAAATGAGTTAGACAGATTGATCAATTTAATTTAAATAGATTGAAAATCTCAATCCAACCCGCCAATTTTGGGTTGGATTCGGGTTCAATTAATTTTTGTCAGCTCTAGTTTTATAGATTCTTTGATTTCAATTTTGAAGAAATCAAATATCATACAACAAAAATGTTTATAAACTCAGGTGTAATCATTTTAGAATTTTGGTTGAAGTTGATTTTAGAATTAAATGCATGAGAAATATTTAGTAGCTATCTAACTACGGAGAAGATGATGATAAATAATGTAAAGAGAATGCAAATAGTTATTTTACTTTGTCTATATATATAATTTTTAAATTCACTACAAGAATATCGATATTTAGTGGCGATGGGTGTCGCCGCTATAGGTCAAAAATGTTTTTGCTAAAGGTATTAGCGGCGACATGTCGTCGTTAAGCGGTCACTATTGTTGGTTCGTCGTTAATGCTCCATTGGTCGCTGCTATTGCCTTTTTTCGCCGCCATTGCCTTTTTTCGTCGCTAAAGGTGTGTCGTTACTAATGCTCTTAATCGCCACTAAAGGTGTCACCAATAGTTATAGATATTTCTATACATACAAATACACATATACATACAAGTACACATATACCTATAAAAACATATACACATACAAAATACACATATACATACAAATGTACGTACAAAAACACATATGCATACATAAAATACATTTAAAATACAAATACACATACAAATACATATCCACATCTACAAACACAAAATAAACATACAAATACACATCTACAGAATCAAATTTTCGGTGAGAACAATGATGGTGGCCAGTGGCGAATCTAGAATAGACTAGCACGTGGTTCCTAATTAAGTGAAGTCGAAAAAAAACTAAAAATCAACAATACATGTAACGAATCGGATTGGGTCGAACCTATAAAAATCACTCTACTTGACCCCTAAAACTGGATTTTTGAAAAAAAAATGCACAATTTAATCTCTTTTTTTATTAAAGAGTTCATTTGCAATAATTATTTCTTACAATATTGTTGGGATGAGTTGTGTTAATTTTTAAGGTTCATTATAACTATTCACCATCCATTTTATAACATGAGTTGTGTTAATTTTTAAGGTTCATTATACCTATTCACCATCCATTTTATAACATCAAATAATTACATATATTTCTTTTTTATCTCCTCTGTTGGATAAGTTATGATAAATATCAACCATTTGTTTTGTAAATTTAAATATAAACCTTCCACTATTTCTTTTATCTATTTGTTTTCTAATCTTGTCAAATAATGTAAGGTAGGTCATACTTTTTTTAAGATGGTTCCTAAAACTTATTTAATATAAATACTATATAAAACTAAAAAAATAGGAAAGTAGAGAGAAGAATGGAAAACACAGAAGATCGAGAAGTAAGTGAGGACGAACAGGGTTTTACTGTGTTATTGTTGACGCTCTTTAGCGGCGACGGGGCACTCTTTAGTGGCGACACACCGGAGGGAAAAGAACATGGGGTTTCCTACGTCCTCCTAGTCGTTGGATCATCACTTAAATCGACGAATAGATTGAAAAGACGTGGATCTCCAACATAAATCTTTAGCGGCGACAAACGATTTTAGCGACGACAAAAAAAACGTGTTTGATTGTTGTTGCCTCTAAAAGTATCTGTTGTCACTATTACTGGTTGCCGAGTTTAGGGGACTTTCTACCGCTAAAAGTCAAATCAAAGTAAGTCCCATATGGATTTATTGGTAAGATATTTGTAAATTGTGTTGGTTGTCATTTTATTTCCAATTTTCATCATATGTCTTGGGTTTATGTGACATTTCTTTAATTTTTTTTAGGAATCAAAGGTCAAACGCCCACCTACTCGCCTTGATATGTTTGATAGAACACATAGTACTAAAAAACTGAAAGAATGAAGTTCAAACATCGACAACATTACATCCAAAGCTATGAATAGTGTTGTATTTATTTTTTATTTTTTATTTTTTTATTGACTCTTTAAAAAGTAATCAAGTAAAGTATGATGATTTATATTTAATCTTAATTGGCACTAATGGGTTTATGATAAAATAGGATGCATATGTGGACGGTATCATAATTAAATATAGAGATGATATTGATAGCCATCCTCCATATAATCATAAACTTTGGGCTGAAGTTAATGGAGGTATTAAGAAAGGAAGAGTAATTGGATTTGGCTCTATGTCTAATATACATAAGTTTATTTTTTCCCTAAAAGTATGTTGCTAGTATTAATTATTTATAGTTTTTTTTTTTTCAAATTGAAAGTATGTTGCCTTTTATTGACTATGTGGCTTGATGCTTAATCAGGTGTAAACTTAATTATTGTTGTTGTGTGGGTTTTTGTTGATTGTATTCGAGAGGAGATAAATGATGAGTTTATGACGGAAAGTGTAGAAATTGAGGCACAAAAACAATAAATTGCCAATATGGATAATGACATCCTAAAACTCATTCAAGGAAGTAGCATATACCAACTAATTAGACTTTGGCACTGATTTTTGTGATTTGGTTTCGATATTTTGAAATCGATTTAGAATGACACTTGATTTTTATGATGTTTTGATTTTTTGATATCGAATATGAATCTTTATTTTGCTAGTGAAATGTTAATATTTTGAATTTGTAGTTGAATTTTATTTATTTTACTATAAAAATCAAATTTGATTTTGTAACATTTAAACAAAGTTGCAGCAATTATTAGTAAAAAAATCAAATTTCATTTTGTAAAATTCTAGTCAGCAAAATTATATATAAAAAAGTCATTAGCAATGAATTTCAAACGGATTCCATGGGTTCCTGAGCTAATCAGTCGACCGATTAGCGATGGACATTAGCAACAAATTAACGACAGAATCCAAAGAATCATTGAGTAATTTGTGTTGTTGCAAATCCCTCGCTTAATCCGTCTTTTCAATGGGCAATCTTGTCGTTAATCCATCGCTATTGTTTTTAGTAGTGTTTTTTATACAAAATTACCTAAATTAATGCCTTATAGTAAATAAAACCACTTAAGTGTCATTATTTATCAATTCCTAAAGTTTATATGATTTGAAATAATTATATATAAACCTCTTTTTTATAGCATATGAAAATCATAGAATTTATTTGATGCTTTTTAGTTTCAAGAAATATGATTTGAAATAGTTATTTATAATCCTATTTTTATAGCATATGAAAATCATTGAATTTATTTGATGGTTTTTAGTTTTTAGCATAAAGTCACAAAATCCTTAATTTATTTATGATTTAATTAAAATTCATTTTTAATTAACTTGAGTTCGGTTCCGTCTCTCATCTAAGGTTTGTCATAATCGCCGATCGATCTCCAAAAGAAAACCCTAAAGATGCTCTGCAGTCTTGAGAGATGAGTGCCGAGTTATAGGCTTATTGTTAATCGCTTTGATTAACTTGATGAGTTTGGGGTTTGTGAGCTGCATTTTCCATTCAGTACGTAAATTTGTAATCGTTTAGTTTTGATCTATAATCGAAGCTGTGGTTTGTTTTACTATAATGTTTTCAAGGCTTGGTCGTTCAATCTCTCGATTGTCTCGCTCAAGGGTAAGTCTACTCTTCCCTAGCTATAAATTGCTCATATTTTTCTTGTTTTCAGTATCTACATGGGTTTCTGAGTTGATTATTTTGATCAATGTTGTTCAATGGTTTGGTAGAATGTTTTGAGGGTTGGAAATGGCGGAAGATCACTGCAGGTTTTCACATATTCTTCAGCATATTAATCTCGAGATGATAAACTTGGGGTTTCGGTTTTGAGGCGTTGTTTAGGTTCCCTAGCAGCTAACAATCAAAGAAATGGTTCTGGGTTAGGGTTATCATCGAAGCTGTATACATCGGATATGAACTGCATTCTTCCAAACCCAAGAATTCGAAGGTTTTCTCCAATCCGAATAAGAGTGAGATCGATTATTTTCTGTATGTTTAATTAATTTGTATAACAGCAGCAATGTGTGAAGCTTACTCACTAATAACTTTGTGTAAGGTGCAGAGGAATCAAGTAAATAACAGAAAAGAGGTTCCTTTCAATTCATTATAAGCTATTATGTAGAGAGGTTAGCAATATTTTATTACATTTAGATGCTTGATTTAATGGTTTGTCTCATTTTGTACCTCTGTGTTTTGCTCATAATTTTACTACATATTCACTCGATGAGATTGCATCTGTGGTATGCAGGTTGACAAGTTCTTGGTTATATGTCAAGTTCTTGGGGAAGAAAAGGATAGAGGAGAAAGGAATATGGATTTCGAGGCTGAAGAACAAAGGGAAGGATACTAATTGTACTTGGGGGCAGTTTGGGTATTTCAATATTACTGATATATAAATAGACTTAAAATTTTGTTTGTAATTGGGAAATCAAAACATTATTAATCATTTTGTAGGACTGCGTTTGATTAGTATGATTGTATCTATTTCCTAATATGCATCCCTCGTTATTTAATTGTTTCGATTTGCTCATTTATCTTGGCATTTGATCAATTTACGTAGGTTTGTATTTTTTACTAGGTTATAACAAGTAAAAATCACGGTATGTATTTTTAAAATATTTATTATATAGAAAAAAAAAAAGATTAAATGACAACATAATAAAAACAATGTATTTTAGATTGTAAGTAAAACATGAAGAATTTGATAAAAAGAAAATCTTTTAAATTACATTTTGAAACACTTCTCTGTATATAACATTTGACTTTTTATTGGTTAAATTATAATTTTTATTTAAAATCAATAAATTCAATTATTATATGCTCAGTTTTTTTGTATAAAACAACATATAACTGACCGTGTGAGAAAATTGACACTTGTAAAAGAAATCAACCTTTGATATCGATTGACATTGAATTTTATTTATGGTTATAACAAAACAAGCAGCCATCGAAAATTGTCTCATTTTCAATTTGAATGGAATTTTGACGTCCAAAAGTGTTAAAACAATCTATAAAAGGAATATGTACTATATAAAAGTTTATAGATAAATATATGATAAAGTCATTTTTATTGTATTATTACTATGTATAAATTTTTTTAAAAACTAAATGTAATGATGAAACATTAATTTTATAAACGAGAATTTAACAGTAATAATGTATTGTGTTAAAAAAAGTTGTAATAGTATTTGTAACTGAAAGTAAACTAATATAATTTTTGATAATTATTTAAAGATAAAAAAATAATTACATGTTTAAAAAGTTATTGGAAAAAAAGTTACAACGACTTATATTGGTGTACTAACAAAGTATAGGAATTAAATTCAAACTTTAAATAAGAAGCATCGAAGATTACAGGAGGTAGACGAATTTTTAAATCAAAGACGGTTTACGAGTTAAAAAAAATAATAATAAATAAATAAAAAGGAAATTTTGATCATTCTTTATAAATATTTCTTAGTTTTTCAAATATTTATGTTATTAGGATAGAATGTTTTTCAAAATTTTAAATGAAAGGTTTTTACAATTACTAAAAAAAATGGAAACTTGAATTTTTAATTTTGAATTCCTTATAAATACTTTTCTGAAAAATAAGAAAATACCAAAAAAATCGAAAATTAAGAATTTCTTAAAAATTGCCACGTATCAATTAGCCTATTTAGAAATAGGACATGTGACATTTAAAGGTTTTGTTTATTAGAGGATATAGATGTAGATGTAGATATATTCATGGGAAAAATACTAATCTAGCCAAATTTATTAATAACTTCTCACTTTTAAGCCAAAATTTAGGACTTATTTCAAAATAATCATCAAAACCGTAGGTGGTAAAAATGACCTACTGTTTCGCCCATTTACCTACTGTTTTGATTTTAGTATATAAAGATTTTTTTTTTATTTTTCACTGTGAAACCGTAGATGAAAAAATGGTCTACTGTTTTCTCTGAAAAGTCTACTTTTTCCCAAATAGTAGATTAAAAATGATCTACTGTTTCGTCCAAAACCTACGACTTTGGTTTTTATTTTTTTTTTTAAGATGAAAAAAAAACACTAACTTTTACTCTAAAAGAGATTTTTCTTTTAACATATAGTAAGTACGATATAGTAGTCAAAATACATGAATTAGTAGTCAAATACCAAAAAAAACCAAAACTATAAGTTTTTAGATGAAACAGTAGATCATTTTTAATCTACTCTTTGGGAAACAGTAGACTTCTTAGAGGAAACAGTAGACCATTTTATCGTCTACTATTTCGTAGTGAAAAATGAAAACAAAAATCTTTATATACTAAAATCAAAACAGTAGGTAAATGTGCGAAACAATAGACCATTTTAACCACCTACAGTTTCGATAACTATTTTGAAATAAGTCCTAAATTTTGGCTAAAAAGTGAGAAGTCATTAATGAATTTGGTTAGATTAGTAATTTTCCCTATATTCATACTACTTTGATTTTAGGTTCTTAATTATTTGCTTTTGTTAACCTGCACGTTTAATGTGATTAGCCATGGAGTCAATTTATCACCAATCGGTACTCCCTAGAAACTCCATCGACTTGCACTTAATGTGATTAGCCATGGAGTCTCCTTCTGGTTTGCTTATTCTGATTCCATAGAGCTTACTTAGCTTATATGCCAGTTATGTCCTCTTGGAGGTTATATCTTTAGGTAAATATCAAAATTTTACATTGTGATTCTTGAGGTTCTTTAACATGTTGGTAATTGGTTATCAGGGCCGGTTCTGAGGATTCAAATGCCCAGGACGAGATGGATAAAAAATATCCTTAGGCCTTAACGTGTAACGAACTAAATTACATAAACTAATTTTTTACTTAAATGGATGATAAACTTATAGTAATAAACAAAGTAAAATCATAGTATTTTAATGAGTAATTACATATCCTAACAACTAACTGATGATCCCTGAAGCTCTCCTAGCATTCTTGATTGTAAATTGGTTGATCAACTCTTCATAGTCTATACCCTCTAAGATTTCGTTCTTGATAGATATCATTTCCAAACCGCTAAGTCTTTCTTGTGTCATTGTGGAGCGTAAGTAAGATTTCACAAACTTCAATTTTGAAAAACTCTTTTTTGCATATGCAACTGTTAGTGGAATAGTCAACAATATTCTATATGCAATGCTTGTATTTGGGAAATAATCAAGTTCTTTCAAAAACTTCAAAACATCTATAGGGTTGCTAAATTCATTGGTTTCCAATGTCTCAAATAATTTCAGCTCCGTATAAAGTGCATCGACATCAATATCCGATCTGTCTTCAAACTTGAGTGTTTATTCAAGACGATGACAATACGACTTAAGATCTTTATCTTCAATTCCCCTCAAATTATGTGGAAATAAAAAACCAAATACTTTGTCATACTCTTTGAATTGTTCAAATCTTGTCTCAAGAGAAGAAATAGCTTAATCAACAGTGAATAAGAAATAATTGGCTCTAAAATTATCTTCAGGTGTAAATGAAACTTCTTCGCTAGTTGAACTCTCATCAAACCTTTTTTTTCTTTCAATCATACGCTTTTGTGGAAATATTGGATCAATACCCATTTCAATAGCAATCTCCTTAGCTTTAACAATCGCTTTTGAAAAACCAATTTCTCTATAATCCTTGAAGTACTCAAACAATTTTTTTTTTTATTTCAATAATAGCATTATGAAGATACATAACCTTTGATTGTAACTTCTTACTCACAATATTCACATGGTTTAGTACTTGATACCAAATAACAGTTGATACCAAAAATTCAAAGTCACCAAGTTCTTTTTCTTCTAGTGAAGTTGCTTCACTTGCAATTGCAACATCATTATCTTTTTCTCCAACTTGAAGTAAAGCTTCATGTACATCCACACGTTGAAGTTTAATAGCCTTTACACTCCCAACCCAACTTTTCCAATGAGTTTGACACAATGACTTAAGACTCCAAGCTTTAACATTATTTTTCAAAATTCCCCACCTCTTAATAGAATTTGCAAAGATAGTATAAATGCGTTGGATGAATCCTAAAAAGTTCTTTCCTTTGACACACTTGTTAGCCATATTACATAATGTCAGATTAAGACAATGAAAACCACAAGGAGTGTAAAATTCTCTAGGATTTATATCTAAAAATCTCTTTTGCACTCATTGGTGTTTTCCTTTCATGTTTGCTCCATTATCATAGCTTTGACCACACATATCATCAATTTCAAGACCAAGAGACTTTAACTCCTCAAGTGTAATATCAAATAGTCCTTTTCCAGAGGTATCATCAACATTCAAAAAACCTAAAAAGGACTCCTCGATAGTAATAGAATTATAAGATAACGTTAAATACCTCACTATTATAGTCATCTGTTCCCGGTGACTTGAATCGGGGGTACAATCAAGTATGATTGAGTAGTACTTTGCTTCCTTTATCTTCTTGATAAGTTCTTTTTTAATTTCTTGAGCTATCAAAGATATTAGTTCATTTTGGATTAAGTGGCCAAGATAATGCACATGAAGCCCATCACTTGTGATTTGTTGCACATGCTCTTTGATAACCAGGTCAAACTCTTCCAACATTTCAATGACACCCAAAAAAATTTATGTTACCTATTAAATACAATTAACAAATAAGAAGTGAAATCAGTCATAATAATTAACAAAAAGGTATTTGGTGGAATTAGAACAAAAAAAAATTACAATTTATAGTTACCTTTTTTATACAACTTTTCATTGGATCCACGAAATGCTAAATTATGTTTAGCAAGAAACTTCACTACTACAATGATTCTCAAAAGGACTTGTTTCCAGTAATCTCTTTCTGTCTTGAATTGCTCGTATTGAAATTTATCAATTGTTTCATTCAAGTTCAATCTTATACACATATCAAACCACTTATTCCTATTTGTAAGATGAACCAATGAAATTTCATGTTCAATCTTTTACGCATATCAAACACTAATGGTAACATGGCGCCAACCTGCATAACCTTCGTCATCGAGTTTACCTTTTGAAATCCCTTTTTTAAACACGTTACAACATAAACAAAATACTCTGTCTATATCTTTCTAATATATTAGCCATTCTCAATCACACTTCTCCAAATTTGGTAAAGTTCTTGTATATAAAGCTGCAGAAAACCGTTTACAAAATTTATCGTAGGGACCATACATAATACTATTATCTCTTATAGGACCTTTCTGGACCAAAAGTTCAATCTCCTCATAATTAAGTTTTTCCCACCTTCTTGGATCATATATATCAACAAGCTCTTTAACGGGTTCTTGTTCTTCTGCCTCTTCTACTTTTATATGCTCTTGCTCTTCAACATGCTCTTCAACAATCTCTTCAATTTGCTCTTCAGCATGCTCTTAAATAGGTTGTCTATGGATAAACTTATCTGGAGAACCGACGTCAATCTTTCTCTTTTCTTCATCTAGTTTTCTTTTTTACATTTTTTACTACCGGATGGTTG